CTTGCTGCTATTCTTCGGGACATATCGATAGATAAACTCTGATGGTACATTATGATAATAGAGAATTTAGGAGTGACATTCTCGTTGAACGTATAAAATTAGCATCAAAACAAAATACCTCTATAGGCAAAAGTTTTCATCTTTTTTAAATTATTGAGAACGGTTTTGATTCTCATTTTAAAGATAGGTGATACTCCGCGAATTCCTGATAAATTGATTTAATAAAGGGACGCCGTTTTACGAGCACGTTTTCTATATGAAAGATCGCCGATAGTAATTTAGATACGTGGATTAAAATGGTCCCGACAGGGTACCTGCTATTTACGCGAATATTTGTGCAGAAATTTATCTCATAGAAAATGGTTCTCGATTCCGGATCGCGTGACGGGCAATTGGCATGTTTGACTTGGCGGTTAGTTCAGTCGCTTTTCCATTAAGAAATTCGAGAATAATTAATTGCGGAAGTAAAGTTACATATATGCTATTACACTTCTACGTGAAGATTATAGCTGCTATATAACATTAATATGTCAGGTTAAAAAATTGCTGTATACAGATATACTTTGCTGTATACTGCAGATATGCAATATTGATTGTACACAACCTACGCAAAATCTCGTAATTGATGAAAAAAAATTCTACATTATTTACTTTTTCACGAGAAACTATCTCCCGGCCGGCTATACACTGCGAGATTTACTGGAACTTGTATTATAATACGATATATTTATAACTCGCCGTGTATTCGCGCGTTAATTTTCCTTATCTCGCAGAATTATCATAAGGTACAGCAGCGAAGAAAGAGAGCGTCATCCGACCGTGAATTCCTCTCGGCCGAATTCTTATGCTCACAGCTCGTTGTGCACGCGACCACGATCGCCCAATCACTCGCTCTATTTCCCTCTCTTTCGTACCAAAAACCCCGGGAGTCGTTTTCGGGCGATCCCGCGATCCCGGTCGCCGCGCCGCGCCGCGCCGCATGGGTTAACCCGGCGAAGCGTGAAACGTGCGAGAACGTCTGTTTCTGGTGGGATATCTCCCGACCATTTCCATTTAATTGATCGTCCTGAAACGTTGGCACGTATATGTGCTCCGTGGATCGAAGGCGATACCGGCACGGCGATTTCAATGGGCACTGGACGAGCCAATTAGCTCCGTCCCAATGCTCAGGTACCCTCTTTCCCCCCGATTCTGTCCTCCGCGCCACAGCTTTATCCCCTTTCTTCACTTCTTTCCACTTTCCTCTCTCTCTCTCTTTCTTTCTTTCTTTTTTTCTTGTTTTACTCTTCTTTTTACATATCTTTCTGTTAATCTTTCTTCCTGTGTCTCCCTGGTTCGTTTTCTCTCTTCATCGTTCTGCTGGCCTAAGTTCTCCATCTCATCTTTCTCTCTCTCTTTCTCTTTCTCTCTCTCTGTCTCTTTCTTTTTGTTTCTGCCAAGTCAAACTCCCGGTCTATATGCGACCTGGAAGGCTTCCGGGCTGAAGCGGGACATTACGGGTCCCTCTTTCTCCTCAGACACGGGAACACAGAAAACCGGGGTCCTATCTTATCCGCGAAGAAGTTTATAGCCCGGTCGACTCTAATTGGGCGAGAAATCATCGGGCACTCCTTTTCTCCGTCCGCACGCTCAAAAAGACTCTCACTAATTCACGATTTCTCGCGTATTATTGCCGGATCGCGCCACCTCCTCCCCTTATCCTCCTCTCCTTTCGTCTCTCTGTCAAAACCTTTTTCTCCTTCTTCTTTCTGGATCCTTAGTAACGAGCAAACATCATTTTGAGGGGGCTTTGACACTTTCGATATATCGACGTTTAAATTAAGCTGTATATTTGAATATTTTTATGTAGTCTCGCGCCGAATTTATATTTTGCGAGGCGGTATAGCAAGGATTTAAAGGAAACAAACTTGTATAGATAAACGATTATTGAGTACACACATTATCTTGATTATATTATATAGCGATATTGCTCATCTAATCATTTTTACATTGCTGAAAGGAAATTTTGAAAATAAATGCAATTTTTATATGATTTATAGAAGCGAGTATCTCATTCAATAATTTCGCTGTTTGTAATAAGTCTCTTTCACATCAGAAAGAAATCACGGGACCGTTATCCTGATGAAATCTCGAGATAGTTGTTACCCACGTATAAACTTTTCGTCTTAATGTGCTAGATGTCAACGCATGATTTCGTCAATTAAGAGAAGGCGCACACCGTTTATTTACTCTTTATCACACGTTCGAATATTTTCTCACGGATCAACACGGATCTCACGACGGAAGTGGCCTAACGCAATTTACGGTGAACGAACGACGAGTCATGCCTGTCAGTAATCCCTTCGTCCTAATTCTCATTAACGTTTCGAATATCTCAGCTTAAAAGCGCACGCGGGTCAGGCACCGGGTTATGCCTGACCCGGTAACATGCGATTTGGAGCGAGCGGACGATTTAGCGCGCGAAAAGGCGCGCTATCTCGGCAGGCAATATCTCATTGAGCAAAGGAGGAGGTGACTTTAACGTTGGCCCCCCCTCGCTCCCCTTCCGTAAGCAATCGCGGGCTTGAGACGGGCCCGACGTGCCCGCCGAGAGAGTAAGATCGTTAATCTTGCCGCGCGCCGATCGGGCGTAGATAGTAATTGTTACGTTCTGCTTTCCTGTGGCCGACCGTTCGACCGTGTCCGACACTCCGACGAGGCCTCCTTCAACACCCGAAGACTCGGCTCATCCCTCTCTCGCACGTCTTTACGTTCTATTTCCCACCTCTCTCCTTCCACGAGTGCCATGCGTGCACGCGCTCGTCTCTTATTTTCTTCGCGTCGGGAGTCGCCGACCGATCCTCACCCACCGGCAGCATTAACGCCTTCGGCGAGTCTGTTGGCATTACAATGCCGCCCGATATCCGTTCGCCACTCTTCTGCTGACTGTTTGCGTTGGATCTCTTTAGCCTGTATAGCGTATAGCGACGGCAGGTGAATGGAATCGCGCGTGCGGAAGTTTGAATCGGCCGAAGCTGAAAACTCCGCTGAAAACTTCAGACGTAGGGTGAAGTTACGACGATCCTTAAACCGGGTTATCGATAGAAAAGTTAAAGAGCGATTAATTAATAGAAAATTAATAAGTGAATTTTTTCTCCAAACCCTAATCATTTGCCATTAGGCCTGTGCGATTAGATGTTAAAATAAAACAAATATATTTTCTTTCATTCTAACTTATATACTACTGCACTAGTTTAGAAGTGCCGCGAAAAAAAGAACAAGCTTATTGTTCAAAGTCGGTAGTTCAGGAAATCATGATGGTTCTCTTTCTTGTCAACAAGGGAACTGACACGATCGCTATCCTTTATTCAGGTTTTGATTTCGTTATTGGGCATCCTCCGTCTGTTTCTTTATCCACTTTCGAACGGTTCGAATTACTCGGGCGCGCGTGACAGTCGCTTCTGCGAACTCCATATTAACCACTTACAAGCTCGATTTCGTGACTTTTTTCGCGGGACCGTCTTTCGTATCATTTTATCCACATCGCCGACGAGACTGTCGAAGTCGTTTCATTCACGCGCTAATAGAGTCTTGCAGACTTCCCGTCTCAGGATCCGGCTACCAAAAAGAGATATGCGCGTGAAAAGGTACGTCGATCCGTCGTGTTAACGAGTCCGCTCGTATTACATGCTCGACGACGTCTCTCTCTTTTTCTCTCGCCTCCCCCCCGAAGTCCGGTCTTCCCTTCGTCTCCTGAGTCGCTGGAGTTCACGTTTCCTCGTCCTGCCGTGCGCGTATCCTTGCCTCGTGAAGCCGAGCGTGGCCATAAATTCGCCGCTCGCGCTGACCGTTGAAGCGGGCCACGATATCCGAAATGTCGCGCGGATCCAATGTTTTCGTGCTCTCAACAGCAACAAGCGATTCCACCCGTGCCCGTGTGGAAGAGAGTGTCGTCCCGCAGAAAACCAGTTTCGCGCGCAGATTCCTTATTTGCGAGCCCGACGAAACCGTAGATTCGAGTTAATCGTCGATGAGCCTTCCCTCGTTCGCGCACTTTTTTCTCCCCTCTTCCTCTTGTATCCCTTATCCCCTATTTCCTCGCCTCCGTGCATCCTTCGGTTCGACGCAACTCGGATACGCGTCTTCGAGTGATCTCAGAATATATATATTCCGTTGTCGCGAGGGAATGGATTTGTCCCAGCGGCGATCGCTAACTGACGTTCCATCGCGAAATTTAAGTTCTATAGCATATACATATAGATTTTTAATGGGAATCTCGAAGCGCGAGAAAGCACGCGACGTGCGGATACTTTTGCGGCGGATATAATAACTTACACATTCGCGGAGCGCAAAAGGATTAGATTATCATTACATTTTTTAATTTTTACACAGGAAGTCGGACGTTACCCGGCAAATTTGTACTATGTTTTATATGGAACATTAAGCAGGAGATAACTATATTGGTAATTTTACCTTTCTTGTACGTGCTCGTGCCTCTTTTTCTCACCATTAACAAAACGGCAATTTAAGTAGATACACGGCTGCGCGATCGTGGAGAATATCCGCGACTTCGGTATTCGCGAGCTGTTTAATAAGAGATAAGCACGGGAAGAGTATTAGAGTTCGGGTGCACGATCCGTAGCGGAATATCTTGTACCTTATAGGAGATATGCGGAAATATATTCCACCTATTTCACTAAGGATAATTGCCGTAGAGCGTAAATCAGGGGGTACCTAGGGCAATTTGTGATATCGATTACTTTACATATTGAAGTCTATAGTAATTTTAACGTAAATCAGTAAAGATATGTATAGTAGGACAAACAATTCAAATGTTTAAGTTTTGCATTATTAAAATAATTTTTAAAACCGAATAACGTAAAAGAAATTATACTTTATTTTGTCGTTCTTTTTGTTCATATCATTATTTAACTTAGGATTGGAAGGAGATTAATTCGATAAACGGTAGCGTAGGATATTTATGTAAATTTATTTCAATATAACATATTTTATTGTGCGGATATTTGATGGCTCGCCGAAAACTGTTTTGTCTGTCGGAGGATAGTTGGAAAGAAAATTTGGAAGAGTTTGCAAGAGGAAATGAGTTGTGATGCCGTGTGTGGATATTTACAAACGGTTTCATTTAAATAAACATTATTTTAACACAGTTCGTACAGGATTATCTGTGTTTTCGCTTATTTCTATTTCAAATACCTATAGTTAACGCATATCCCTAATTCATAAAGATTCGCTAGGACTAGTTCCGAATGAGCTCGAACGAATCTCATTCTTTCTTCACGACGTATGTTTTTATTTTCTACTCGCACGAGCGGCTCCCCAGATCGATTTGAGCGATCTAACATCGTTTGCTTTTGCCACGCGATATGCATCGATCACTTATCTAATCAACGATAATAATTACAATGACATGATGACGTTGCGTTTTAATATTACATAGCTCGCAACACTCATTCGCCTCAGCGATTGTAGGAAATCGTTCATATTAATTCGTATAATAATAAGCAGTTCCATAGATATTAAAAACTTCAACTAATAAAAAAAGAGCCGAGCCCGACAATAATGAGAAGAGAGAAAATATTGGATACGACACACACGATGTCGCATCTGATGCTACACGCCGTTAAGCGTCGATTCGAGTTCGTTGCTAATGCAGCACGTTACCGATTCGTCATTCGATCACTCGCGCGTTGACTGAACAAGGTCAATGATTCCGGCTCGACATTTTGCGGTTAACTAATATCCGCTATTTTTCGTAGCTTCGTGCACCGTAAAGCAAAAAAAAAACATTTTCATCATTTTTGCACTTATCAATCACCAATAGATAAAAGGTAGAGACTGCGACGACGCACTTCGAACACTGGTTACCGGATCCATGCGATTTGTCTAGCCAATATTTTTCAATAAATAAGCCGCAATGCGGCCGCTCGATTTTTTTTGCGAAAACATCACTCCGGATTCAACGACCGCATCGCTCGAAATCAAACTGAGATATATCTCGCTCAGCGATCGTGCTTCGTCAGTTCCAGCGGTTGTTGGTCAGTCCAATGATCTCTCCAAGCAACCGGCGGCGACGACGGTACATCCTGGTCGGAATCTTGAACGTCAATTTCCTCATCTTCGTCCTCGTTCTGATCGTAGCGTATCCTGTGCGCCGATCCCGGGCGCGGATCATGACCGGATCCCTGCCGCTGGTCGTACGCGGGACTGGTCGGTCTCGAGAGTTCGGAAGAGTCGTCACCCACCAGTTGACTGATCATCCGAAAAGCGCTAGGTTTCCTTTCCGGTTGCTTCGGCACCGACTCGTGCCTGTTGATCCTTTCGGGCCTGTCGAGGCCGTCCCTGGTTGCGGAATTGGTGACGACCGCGCGAAACGCGCTACTTTCGCCGCCCATGCCGGCGATGGAGCAGCTGGATGTACGCTGGCCGATTTCCATAGCGGACGTAGCGGAGTGCGGTTGCTGCTGCGGCGGCTGCGGCTGCGGCGGTGGTGGTGGAGGCGGTGGTGGCGAGCGCTTTAAAAGGTTCATGCGCTGGTGACGACGCCACTTTGCCCGTCTGTTGGAAAACCAAACCTAAGAGTCACGAGTTAGGTCGTTAGAACGCTCGTGATCAAATCGGAACGGGAAACGACGCGGCCGTTGTCCGCCGCAGGGCCTTCTCCAATTCATAAATGTTGAATTAAACCCTGCGTCGTTGCGTCGGCTCTTTTATCTTTAACTATTGGTTAGATTCTCACCTGAACGCGGGCTTCCGAGAGCGACGTTTTCGAGGCGAGACGTTCGCGCGTGGACACACAGGGATAATGCGATCTCTCGAATTCCTTCTCGAGTTCCTCGAGCTGTTCCGGGCTGAAAGTCGTACGGTTACGCCGGAACTTAGGCTGCTCCGAACCGTCTAAGCTTCCGTCATCTCCGTCGCCATCTGTACATTAATAGAAATACCTTTTCTATGGGTTGTGTTTCTGAGTACAACAACCCAATAAAATATCCTTTTACATTGATGAGTTAACAAAACTTATAATGTACTCTACATTATAATTTCAAAGTAAATATAAAATTGATATCTATAATATATTTCTATATGATTAACATAAAAATACTTTGATTTTTCTACAAGAAATATGAAATAATACATATTGAAAAGTCAACATATAGAAAACTTTGAATTGTAGAATGATGACTCAGTGTTATTTGCTTAATGTATATGAATGCTGTAATAGTCATAAATATTTAGCAAGAAACTGTACAAATATTAAATCGCTTAAACATTAATAAAAAATTAAATCATAAAAAACCTTTCTCTCTCTCTCTCTCTCTCTCTCATTTTTCTCATTCTTTGTTTTCGCTTCAGTAATTACATGCAAATCTAGGAATTTAAATTTCAGAACTTAACTTATTTGAATAAATCAATTTAATACGTTGGAGGGAAATGCATGAATATACTTTCGTAGAATCCCAGGTGTATAGGATACTTTTTTCTTAAGTAGGACAAATTTCGCGTCGCGACATCAAAGAGCGATGCGGATCTCTTTCGTCACCTTGCAGATATCCACGTGCGATCGCGTCGGCGGCGTGAAGCGCGTGCTCGGAAGTACCCGCGGCGGACGCGGATGCGGCTGCGGCCGCCGCCGCGGCCGCACCGGGGCTCAAGGACGGTGGTAAAAGCAGAGCGGACGCGGCGGCGCCGGATATACCGGTGGCAAGAGGCGGCAGCATCCACGGGTGTCCGGCTGCTCCCGGCGCCGGCCAGCCCGCCGGCAAATGATGACTCGTCGTCGGGTGCTGGTGCGAATTGAAGTACGGATGCGGCCCGGCGGCCGCGTAGAGCCCGTAACCGGCGGCCCGCGCAAATTCCGCGGCCGCGCGTTCCGCCGCGCGGTTCCGCAGTATCCGATTGATGCTGCTAACCGACGGCGCGGTCGCGTTACTGCAGACACCTGGAACAGGCGAATAACGACGTTGCGGTCAACGCGAGTCGCGAAAATACCGTTAAGTACATGTTAAAGGTCGATTCTCACTATCTATCATGTCACGATCCGATCAAAAATCGTTGCCATTAAATTCAGCGCTTTTTCGAGTTTGCATTCACCCTGCCTGATCACGGTCAGGTAAAGCGACGGTAACTTGACCGCGATCATTCTTCGGAAGATATCTAGACGATCAACAGATGAAAGTGAGCTCCTCTTTCTCGTCTGGAATAGACGAAAAACTAATCGAATATATCAGTACTAATAAAGTATAAGTTTGATTTGTCATCTATAAAAAAATTCTGGATATAATGTCCAGAATTCTTCTCTTGTTTTTTATGTTTTAATAATGTCTTTTCTTTTATCACATTTCCACGCTGTGTTCTTTAATTGTCATCAAAGATTAATGCAATTTCAATAAGCGAACACTTGTGGGAAACATTTTTATACAAAGTAATGATACGGATGGCACTATAAAATTGACCGATAGAAGATCGTCATATGACCGAATAGTGGAAATGCACTGAAAAATCCATGACCGCGACTTGATCTGATCTGACTTGACCATACCATACCTAGTGAGAATCGGCCTTTACACTAACACGACTTCGTTACAAACGGCCGTAGTTTTCAACAACTTTGTTGATGCTATAAGCGTAACGCTGAACGCATACGCTTTTAATGCTATAACGTCGAGTTTTTTTAGTAACAGCGTTGCGTTACAGCAAAAGGCATATTGAAGTTTACTGACGATTGTTATGATATTTGTGTTAGCACGAATACTTCGAGAATGGTATGTGTGTCAAGAAGTAAGGTCGCAGAAACGCGTTTCTTAATTCTTTCGTTTAAATTATACGTTACTCATACATACATACGTCTGTAATCATGAGCGGTTTGCATTCGCATGGCTTACAGAGGACGAACATAATTAAGTAAGGAACACGCTAGTTTATGCACCGCGCTGGTGAAGACTCAACGTTATGACTAAGCGCGTTCTAAGAGATATATTGCGAAAAATCTTAATGTCATTGTTAGTCAAATTGATCAATCTTTCGAGCGCTTATGTTTCGGGCAATTATTACGCTATCGTATTCGCTCTTTTCGTAAAATATAATGATCAATTTGCAAGACATTATATCTTCCTCTTCGCAAATAATTTTTAAGTGCGGCACCGCTCATAAATTTATTTCAATTTAATCTGAATGCACATGCGTTTGGCGGCATTATCTTACCTTCGGAGATTAGCCTCTCCCGAATTTCCCAAGCGAAGATAGTCGGGTTCTCCCTTTTATATTGCTCGATCTTAGCGACAACAGCCGGTGTCGCTACTTTCGGCTTACTGCCACCGATCAGGCCCGGCGGGCGCAACGTACCTGAAACACGATAAAACGGGCTTCAAGGACGCGATGCATTGGCAAAACTCCTGGCCCTCGATAAAATCGCTCGTAAATGGCGCCGCGACATGGCACATTTATATTTTGCGCCCTATTCGGCAGCTCGGTCACGCCAAAACTCGCAAAGCTCGCCGTAATTCCCGAAAATCACGCGATGCACGCGCCTCGGAATCCGAATGTATCTTTCACAAGACATATGATTGATGTGAAAAGAGTGATAATTGTAATATTATACAGATTACATTAGAATTGAATGGCATATTAAATGTAATTTGTCTCATTCACGTAAACATTTGATTTCATTTGGGATATTGTTCCATGTGAGATGCATTAGAATTTTTACAATTTTTAAGATGGATATAGAAAACATTGTGACGTGTAGAAAAGAGAGAACGTAGGAAAGAGAGAAAATACTAATGACAAATTATTTTACAAAAGTCACGACAATATCACAATACGCGACGCTTAACATCGCGTGTTACCGACAAACGGATATCAATCCTATCTTCGTATCTGGGCGGATTCATGATGCAGCAATTAGGACATCGTGAGGATGCTTACGTAATATACATCGTGATACAAGAAAATTATCTGCAGTCGTGTAACCACTGCGCGTTGGCTTGTGATAATTTTTAGTGTCATTATCGCGCAGTATAGGTGTCTGCTTAAGAATTAAATTGCACGCTTAAGATCAATAAGGCTTAGTGCCATTTATAAAAATTATCGTAATTTATCAGATAATATTTCTCTCTCTCTCTCTCTCTCTCTCTCTCTCTCTCTCTCTCTCTCTCTCTCTCTCATCCCTTTCGCTTACAAGTATGAGGACATTTATTTTAAATAAGAAAATATCGGTCATAAGTAAGAATACATGTATTTTAAATCTACCGTTTAGATCTATCGCTGTCATATATTCCATAGAAACTGAACTTATAATTTACTACTCGTGGGAAAGACAATGAGAGATGCAGCAGTCAATTAGTCATGAATTAATTAGTATCTGCAAGTGAATGCGAAGACGCGCACAACTCCATAAGCATATTATAAGTACAAAAAGGCTATGCCTATCATCGATCTTACGTTGTTGATAGGTATCGTAAAGACGTATAAGTGAAGTATATACTAACCAATAGTTTTAGATACTATAGGATAGTTTTAGAACTAAATTAAGTGTATATACAGCTAAATTAAATTAAGTACATATTTAATTAAATTAAGTATATATATTATTACTTTAAATTAAGTATATATACAGCTAAAATAATTTATTATTGTCATTATACATTATACATATCGATACATGATATCGGTAATTATTTGGTAACTTTATTAAACCCTATACAATGACAAGTGATACACGATTCGGATAGATTGCAATCAGAGTCATGCATCGTATTATAAAATTCTTCTTTTTTGTCAATGTTACGCTGTTACTATAATGATATGTATCGAAAGCCACGTTGCGCTTAAGATACAACGTGTATCCGCTGTTTTTGCTCCGTTTCTCGTGAGTTGTGAGCGACACGCGGCGAATAGAAGCGAAGAAACGAAAGTCACGCTCGCGTGCTAATATCAACGTCAACCATCGAGCGTAAAGGCTCCCATTGAGATTCGCCTTCCGACCCCAATTACGCGCGGATTCATCGTGGAAGAACGCGAATGTCGTTCATACGCGCATGTATCATCCGTCATTCGCGGTTCTGTCGCGGTCTTCCCGAGGATCGGGTCTTCGGAAGCGGAGGGGACGGACCGAGGTATCCATCAATCCGGTGGACGATGCCGGGGGACCGTGAGGTAATGGAAACCAGAGGCGCAGGCAGACTTGAGCAATTATCGGTCGTTACGTACTATTATTAATAACAATAATGACGGCTAAACCTGGCAGAGGGTATCGCGTGCGCTCCCACGGATGAAGTGCGTGCCGGGTATATAAACGATGTATCCACCTAATAGGTATCCATGCCGCGAGCAAATTCCTTGTCTCGACCTGCTATCCCGGTCTTTCTCTCTTTCTCCCCGTCCCTTCCTCTCTTCGTCCTTTTAGCTTCTCTCTGTCTTTCCGTCTCTGTATCTATCTTTCCTTGCCTCTCAACCAGTCGATCTCTTCCCATCCTGGACCCGGCCGTTTTTCATTGTTGCTCGTTCGGCTTGCTCCCTCCTCGATTTGCTACTATGCACGTGTGTACGCGCTTGTACGTGCGTGCGTACATAAAATTTTTAAACGGAGCGCCGTTTTTAATAAAAGAAACCGCACGAAGCCAATTTCGTTAGCCGGTTAGGTTACTCTCGCGAGCACAGTAGAGGATGTCAGGCTAGCGGCTGCCGCCCGTGGTTACAAAGCATCGTTACGGGGCGAGAAGGTTGCATTCAACGCGCGTCGCATGCGTGCGTTCGCGGGCGAGGTGATCTCTTTTATGAATTGATAATGAGAGATTAACGTAAATTACACATGGCGGGCGTGTATAAAGAGCGTCGCGATAGAAACTGCAAGCAAACAACCGGAACGCCTTTGGCAGTTCGGTATTGTCAGTTCGATTGCCGTCCAGTTATCCTAACGACCACAACAGTGACATGTTATAAGCTTATTCAGCACGCTTGAAATTTCGGCCATTTATCTCCTGGAGTCTCTCAATCCATTTTTGAACCGATATATGCAGCGAAGAGTTAAAACCGCAATCTCTGAAGACACGAAAATCGATATAATCGAATCGTATTTTTAGTTGATGAAATATGAATAAATAAAATACCGAGATATGATATAATTCACATCTGTTCTCGGCGACGAAGTGACCAGATATCGCGTAACGCCACATTTGCTCCCTTCTCGATTCGCGACACGGACCACTCGCTCGCGCCGAGGGGATTAATTGTTCGCCGTCGTTAAGTAATTGGTCGGCCGATTACGGTACATTATATTCACCTCAAGACGCCTAAGGACTCCGCGTCCAGCAAGATGAAGACATTACCGGCGCGCCGGCAAGAGAGCAGGCCACGAACGGTATTTTTACGAGTGGCTCGTAAAGTTAACGAGGACCGCGAGGTAGGCAGGCCACAGGTCTACGAGAAAGAGAGAAACTCCGGCGTTCCACGGCGATGCTCGGTGACTCGCCTCCATTTTTTATTGTTTACCTCTCTCGGCGCGCGGATCCTTATTCTTCTTCTTCCTCCTCGTCTTTACTTTTTCTTCTTCTTCTTGCCTTCCTCGTCTTTCTGGTCTTTCCTTGAACACGGATCCGAGCTTCCGTTCACTCGTATGGATACCCCGACGATTCCCGATCTCGTTCGGGGTCTAAATTTCCGCGAGTTTCACCGCGTTCTCGCGTGCAAGATCGTACTTGCGTGCCCATCTCGGCGAAAGCGCCCCATCTGCATTAACTTGCGGAATATGGCGGTCGAAGGTACAAGGCAGAAGACGAGCGGCACGAATAGCCACGAAGAGCGCAAATGCCAGAAAGCTCAGGGTGTGGTTCCCTCGAGCGATTAGTATTTTTGAGATAAATTTTTGCAAATGATATAAATCTCTGTTGAATTATAAAGTAAAGGGCATGGGGTAACTTTCATTGAAGCTAATGTAATTTGATAACCAGAAAGAATGTATGTATAATACAGTAATACACCACGCAAATTCATATAAAATTTCGAATTTAACATTTACGAATTTAAAGAGGAGCGAGAGAGTCGAAGCTTTGCATTAGCTGAAAGGCTGGAGAGAGGCTAATGATTGGCGCAATCATTGACGAATTATTCAAGTTTGTTGCCGAGGTGCTAAAATTTAACGCGCGAAAGAAGTGGTTATTACGTATTAATTTTCGCGAGCTAACGAGCTTCGAGTGGCGGATGCGCTCGTTATGTCTGACCATGCCGCGCGAGTTTGGCGTTATTCCCTGTTCTTTGCTTTGCTTGAAATCGCTCAAGATATTAACGCGGCATCATTTGAGGCCGCTGGTAATTGCCGCGCGAATCGCAGCGAAAAAGTATGTACAATCGAGAATTATGTAAATTTCGAAAGAAAGGTAGAGAAAGAGAAACTATCCTAGAAAGTATAAAAAAAATTTAAGTAGAATTATTAATTTATTCCTATTTTAAAAAATAGATCGAAAAGAAAGCGTTTAGTTCGAAAAAAAAAAACATTATGTCAGTATTATTTTTTCTCATAAGTAAGAATTACCTTAAAACTTTATTTGACAAATACGATGGAAACCTTGTATATCAATCTATCTAATATATAGTCCCCGACTTTGGAAAATCCTCCCTTCTGCATCTCCAATATCTATTTTTTCTCTCATTTCCGGAGGATCGATGGTATTCTTGGAACGTAGAATATAAATGGATGATTTCTCCCTTGACTTCGTATCGAAATTACGTACGTACGTAATGCGTGCATGGCGCTCGATACTCGCGATAGGCATAGTGGTTGACGAACATAATAGCGATATGTCAACGGAGTAGTTTCCCTACGTAGGTTCTCGTGTTCGGAATGTCACCCAATAATTTGCATATTCTTATCGTCAACGATAAGAAACAACATGGAGTATAATATCGAGCGTAGAAATATCGTGAATATGCGATTCTCCTCGCATGAAGGCAGCTTCGTGGTAAATCGTAAAAATACACTCTACGAACCTAAAAGTTTCGTAACGACTGCGCCCTGTTGGTTTAATGACAACACGTGGTTGGCGAGATCGTTGTAATGCCTGAGCGCTCCTAATCCATGTGACAATTCGATTAGACGTTGCCGCGATGTGTTGCCGTTATTGCCGCTGGCAAACGGACCGGCCGTGCAATTTTGTAAATTCACACCTGCAATCAGAGGAACATTTCGTTGTAATATGTATAATAATAAAATTATCATACCAAACAACTAATAATAATAACTGCTAGGACGAAATCTCGGGATATATCTTTGACTGTTAATTTTTATCACATTTTCACATTCTTGGTTCTACACTGAGAAACCCATTTGGTTGAATAAAACAAAATTCTTTAGTTAAACCATTTTGTTGACTGAATATGTAATTTTTGTATATTCACTTAAAAAATCATATTACGGGGAGCAAGTGAAATGATACATGAACCAAATTTTATGTTTGAATCGATTTATTTATTATAATAAAATTTGATTGTTGCGGTAACAAACTTGCCCATCTTATCGTATCTTAAATAACTGTGCTTGTTGCTTGAACAAAATCGTTCATTTGAAAATCATAGATTGAAGTCTATGCGCTGCCGCTGCTGCGCCATATGTTTATGCGCAGCGTAGTGTAGTACACGGTGAAGACATGGCGGACGCGGACAAGGACGACAAGGCCCATTCTACAATAGTCGTATAAAAGTAGATAAATATAAGATGTAAGCCAGTAAGTTATTGATTAATAGAATTTTTACTGTCCAAGAATAATCGACTGTGGTGTCAATTTTTACTACATACTCTTACGACTATTGTAGAATGGGCTTGCGTACAAGTATGGTGGATCAGTTGGCGCGATACATTGCATTGTAGTGAGTTGAGCTTCTCATCAGCGTGATGGTCAACATGCGTATCAGAATACATGAAATCGTGCATCGTATAACGACTGTTTTAGTGGCATATTATTTATGGATATGTGCCTTATGCAAGCGTATGTGACACGTGCATAAAGTTAGTGTTACACAGTGAACGATTTCCTGCATTTTTACATGCATGCTGACCAGCACGCTGTAAGAAGCTACATTCACTGCAGAGATGGCTACCGTGCATTTTTCCTTATGCTGTACATTGAAAGAAATTGGATTGGATTGAATAAATTGTACTGAAATCAACTAAATCTGTTATTTATAGATATGACTACAAAAATAATCAGTTGACGCAACAAAAAACCAGCCACAAATTTAGTTTCATGTACAAACAACATTTTTGTTCAGTGAACTGTATTTGTGTATTGGTATTACTAAATTTTCCAACTAAACTTTTGTGTTGCACCAACCACAATTCTTGTTTGCCCATATACAAACAAGAGATTTAGTTGATTCAACCAAATTTTAATTCAGTCAACTAAATGGGTTTCTCAGTGTATACGAAATGCAGTCAACTGGTTAACGAGATTCCAGTGATTTTATCTGGTTTGAGATAATCGGGAATTTATTTTTCTCACGAAGATCTCTTTTAGGATTCTCGAAGTCAATTGAATGCTTCGTTAAATTAACAATCGTCTGCGTAATCGCTGTGACGAAAGTGGTCACGGTCAAATAACTTCACGTTCAGGCGCATTAATTTAAATTGCTGAACGTGATCTCGCGATCCCGTTATTGATACGGTTTTACAGAATATTGAAAGCTCAGAGATACCTGTCATTAAAATTATGGTTAATAATTAATTTATATTCATACTCAACATTTACATTTTTTTATAGCAGTGCATTGTATATCATATTTCAAGAACTTTGATCTTAAGTGATTTTATCAATAATTTTATCTATATAGTTTTTGTGATTATTGTTCGCTCTTAGATAGCTATTAACAGTATTAACATATTAATCAATATTGTGGAAATTTAGTAGAAGTTAATCGGTTTCTAAGTAAATTCAGATTTAATAGGAAATTATCCTTGATCGTTTATTTAATAAATTTGACGCTATAATATGATAATTAGTCAATATGTATGTGATTGCCGGTTCTACTATATATATTTCGATACATTAAAGAAAGATGTAGAGATTGTAGAGTTTGGTTTATTATATGGATGTAGTCTGTTGTATGGATGCAAATAATAAATTGTCAACCAGGTGCGAAGAATTTTTTTCGAAAGAATGCACGCGTATTATAGTCAGCCCTTTTCATGGATTTACAGCTAAATAATATATTTATGACATTTCGGAGGGAAGTAACAATTTACGATTGGACACATGACGCTATTAAGAATCGCTCGTTTACTTCACAATTTAACTAATCACAATAATCCGAAGACAATCGTTCACTTAATTTCGAGCAATCGGGCATTTGATGCAACCGATATCTCGAACGTACTATAATTATTATGCTAAGTAGAAAATTGACTCGTAGAAAATAATCTTAAAGGAGAGAAAATGTAATTACACGACATATCCAATAAAATTGCGACGGGGCGAAACGAAGGTTCAAGCGTAAATCGCGACGCGAGCTTAAAGATAATATGAATTAAATGAGAGATAAATGTTAATTACTATGTCGGCAGCGCGATCAAAATTACGATGTGCTTATTATAGGTTCAGCTTCCCCGTAATCGCGCTGTCTACTAATCCGAACAACATTTAGCGCGAATCGCGCAGATGCCAATTTACGATCGAACGATATATAGCAATATTAAGAGCGCGTAGTACCTGTCATTTTGCGAACGACGCGACGGGCGCAATTGCTTTTTATCCAGTCAATCTTATGTAAAGAGCCTGGCGATCGTCGCGGGAAGAGACCGTCGGGCGAAATTAAATCCCGCGAGTGTTTTGTTGGCAGAAAACAGGTCCGTCGTGCTCATTTGTTATCACGTTGTTTTAATTGGTTTCAACGAGTGAACTCAGCGTGAATACGGCAGCAGTTCGTTTACATAGTGAGAACGTTTAATTAATTAGTCCTTTATGAGCCAAGTGGGCTGCCAAACAGCTCGGTAAATGTATCTCATGCAGATCATTCGCAATTTGTTACCCGCGTAATCGAACGGCCGCTTTTGCACAATTTATGACGTCAATGTAGCTAATTACTAACGGCTTCTCATCAGATATACAGTTAATCAGAATTTAACCAGTTAACTGTAAACTGGAGGAGGAAAGTTGACGCAATATTTTTTGTACATATTTATCATAACGTTATTGTATGTTTGTAATAATTTTAGTTGTAATTTGTTTTGTAACTGTACTTTACATCGATAAGCGTTATAACATTTTACGTGTTCTTCACTCTTGGTATTTTTTTAGTCTTTTTGGCTTCTTACTATTTTAAAAATATTATCGTTACATTTTCACTAAAAAAAAAGATTATATAAAATGACCAGAGAAATAACATCTGATGGTTTTAAGGCTGTACATCAATGATCAGAAGTCGCGTAAATCGCGTACAAATCATATGATTATTTAATTAAGAAAAAATCCTGTTCTCAATTACAGTCGCAAAATTCTCGGAGAATATACTGCCAAACTAAAGTACTACCGAAGTTATTTTCCGAGGAATCCCGTTCGCGATGGTCGCTCGAAACGTCGAATAAAACTTATGCGAATCCCGCGAGTCCCCGCGCCTGTCCCGTCCGCCTGGACGGTACATCGGGCGCGCATTCCGCGCTCGTTTCGTGTCAAAGCGATCGGAGGTGTCGTGAAAACGAAAGTAGCCGATGCACAGAAAGAAATGCGTCCCATCGTCGTTGCATCGACACCAGGCGGAAACCGGTTCTGAACGAGTTCTGGCATCAGGCCTCGCGGTATATTCATCCGACACATTCGAAATCGCCGCCGGTAAAGACCGATCGCTTGACACGGCGCGGTAATAGATATATAATAGACAGAAAAAGTGGAAGGCTGATTCTCTTTCTGCGGACTCGGTGACTCGTGAGATCGTTCGCTTCGCGCTCCCGATGAGTGGTTTTATCTGGACCGAGCCCGCAGATGGTTTCAAGTAAAACTGCGTCGCGGTTTTACAAGTGTCTGCTGACGATGCGCGAACCAAGTTAATTCTTAAACGCAGATCGTTTGTTTGCGATATGTATACGCATAAAGATAAAACGCAACAAAACACACTTAAATCATTTGAAAAGAATGTTAAGAAACGAATGCAGATGTGAAATTTATATATATTATATATGTGCGTGTGTGTGTATAGTGGAAAGAAAATGAATCGAATATAGAGTATGAGATGATACAATGGCAATAATGGCATAACTTTAAACTATATTTATATGTGGACCATCTTTAAGAGAGACTTACTTCTGTAATGATTTTAATTAAATATGGAATAAAATCTTGCAGATAGAATGTGGGCTTGAAATATTTATTTATGATTTTTTTTTACGTGCGAAATAAGTTAAAATATTAAACAATTGTATAACTGTGTTTATACTCGAGGGCAGTGTCTCACAAAAAAGTAATCTTACTTGTATTGTCAAGCTATAATTTCTATACAGATCGTATTAAAAGCAAATCGTATATATAACTGATAATTGATATACATAGCTACAGGCAAACATTTTACATAATAACTCGATAATTAGTGGAGTCCGTGACGATAGTATCCAAGAGGGAATTGAGAAGAAACTCATTTGCAGATGAAGATATCCATATTTCTTGGCACTTATCGCAAATATATTCTAGGACGTAATCATAAAATATCCAAGTAGTACTGCATTATCATTACGTGTGTACCGTAATAACGCCTAATTGCTCATAAACTTTATTCACGGCATCATGCATCATTGATCTATATTTGCCTTTTATATTAAGTGATATTAGAAACTTAGAAGCATCGATGAACATAAAGTTTGGCATCGAAGGTGGATACTGCGAAAAAGGATCGCATTTCTTAGCAAAATTATAACCTGGCAGTTAGCAGGTAGTATATTCTACGCGTAATTAATGCATATATCTTCGCGGACACTTTCGACGATTGGTCGTCAAAACTGTAACAAAGTGCTGCGCGAAGACAGCTATTAACCGCGAGGTGTATATTCGTTTCAAAACACTCTGGGTCGTAAAATCCCGCGGTATCTTGCGCCGCCAAGTAAGTATCTCGTGCACAGCATCGGAAACAACGAGGTGAACTCGTATCGGGTTTTAAACTGGATTAGTGCCTTTCGCACGTGAACCAAGCAAAGAGCTACGCTTTGTCTGCCACGTCAAACTGTCGGATTTGTTTGCAGCTTTTAATTTGCGAACATTATCATTATATCGCAATTTAAGGGAATTAATTTAAATATAATCCGACATTTAAACAAATCGTACATACTTAATACGTAATAAGACTTCGTGAATAGGATATTGAAGATGAATGCTACATTGTCGGGAAAGAATGTCACACTTTTAATGTAATCATTAGATATGACTATAATTAATATATATCTTTTATATGAACTATCGCATGAAATGCCAAATGCTATGATATGCTACCAGGGCACTTGAAACACATTTCCTCTTGTCCTTTTCTTGCGTGTCTTCCTCTCTTTCTTTTCGCTCGCGGAGATGAAGACGTCCATTGCCTACATGGTATCTGCTTCGAAACGGTCTGGGTGTGGTCATAAAATCTCGCAGTTCTGGAACGAAGTGCTCTGCGAACGCGAACGCGAGAGAATCGAGAGTACCCGCGGGATGGACGGGTATTGAGCGTTAAACGAGAGTAATACGTCCGCCGATCTGAAGAGAGGTAGTCTACGCTGCCAACGCATTGAAACCGGTTCCGAACGAGTGCGGTACTTGGTAACCCCCGTGCTTCGTCTGGCAAGTGCGAACCGCGGAAAGATCCGCGAACGCGCGGTAGTTGAACGTGTGTCGCCGTAGGAGCATATATCCGCTACTTCCAATCGCACACTCTCTTTTATTCTCTTATCAACAGTTTCGCGGCTGGGCTGCTCGAAGCAAGTAGCCCGAGAGCATTTCATCCCGTATCAGACATTCACGTGTCGCGGAGAACGAACACGGAATTCGTCGCCACATTACATTACATTCGTACGAAACAACATAGGCCGGGTTTCTGAGTCTGTTATACAATACAATCGCGATTCTGTTTTTTGACAAGTTAATTAGAGGCTAAAAAGAGGCGACAATGATCGCTAATAATAAGCTGTAAAAATCGGTAACTGAATGTGTTCGCACTTTTTGGAGTATTTTGAAGAAGAACTCTGTTTCTCGATCATATTCATACGGTAAAAGTGATATAAGGTATGTTGACCTGATAACGTAGATATTTGGAACTGGTATTCAAAAATTTCCAAACTGATTTATTTGACATATACATTTTATGATATACCTATAACGATTAACATTGTATATAATAATTCCGAATCTCTGAAATATAAATTTTATACATGCATACTGTTTCCGACTTACTCTTCCACTACAATTTTCACGACCAAGTTGAACATTAATTCCAATTTTTTATTCCATAAATAATTATCCGTAAGTGAATAATTTATTCCGAAATTGCGGACAAGATTTCGTAATACATATTTCTGAGATTTTTTTCGTGTTTTTAACGGCGTGAAATGCTTTCATTAATGTTACGAGACGAGCCCTGTACAGGTGTTTGGCTGCACAGGTGTCCAATGTTAATTGCTTTTACCATCCTGCATCGAAAGGTTCGCGCGGCGAAAGTTCGTTTAGCGATTCATAATTCAATTAGAGTTACTTGGTTATCTCTCATCAAGACAGATATAATCGATATACTCATTTGTCGTCATACATATCGACTATCGTCATACGTGTATATGTTTATTAATTATACGACATAATGATACAAATATGTATAAGATAAGAATATCCGGGAGAATATCATATAATAATATAATTAATAACGTATATATTACATAAAACAAAATACAATTAATGAGAAGATCATTTTGTTCGTTTAATTTTTTATAACGTTTATCGAAATGGTTAAAATTTATATAAAAAACCGATATAATGCTATTGTATCAAGGAAGGTTGACAAAATGCACGATTCAAGAAAATTTATATTAGGTATTATTATCAGAAAAATTATAGAATTTCCGCGTTTTTTTACTCTTTATATTTTACGTTTATTATACATAACTTCATTGTTATTTCATTTCATTGATTATTGTCTCTTCGATAGTCCCAAAAGTGTATTCAAGTGTCTCTCCATTAAACAACGGTTTTACATTTCAATGACACCGTACTGTGCATGATTTTGCTGTAATAAAGCACATGAAACACGATTGTAAACAATGGCGTGTGACATATTCCGTAATTATTGATTTATCATGGTGGCACAACAAAATTAATTAATTTCCATTGCTTACACATACATATGTCCGCTTTATCTTAGATATCCAAAAAAAGACCGGAAAATGATACAATAATCAATATCGAGAAAAATATTACTAGCAGAAGCACCTGCTTTTCGCTTTTAGCAAGTATTAAAACGCACAACGGATATTTAACAAATCTAAATGCTTAAAAAATTGCGTAACTCAATAAAAATATTTGTCTTATCATGATTTATACCGAACGTTCAGCATGAAGCAATTATTAATGAGTTTATGGTACACTCGGGGATTTCGTTCATATCTTTAAACGATTATTACGATTATTACTACGATTATAATAATATTTGCATATTAGCCTGTGCTTGTTCCAAACGATGATTTATTTAATAACTGCTAGATTAATCAATCGAGAGCTCGACGAGAAGAACTCGACGAAAGAAAAAGGCGAAAACTAAGAAATAGTTGAATGGAACGAAAATAATCAGATCCGATTCGACTTCAAATTTGCAAATGCATCCCTACTCACCATCGATCAGAGAAGCCGGTACATTTAACTGCTGGTGATGATGTGCCGCCGGATGCTGTTGGTGGTGGTGTGGCGGATGTACTTGCAGCAGGTGCGATCTCGTCTGGGAGAAGGTCGGCGACGGTGGTTCCCAAGGTCGGGCAACACCGGTGCTGGCGGGAACGTCCTCGTCCTGACAACAGAACTTGTCGCTCGCGCTCGAAGCAGTCGTGCCGGTGCAATTCGCGACTCCGTGTCCGTCATTGTTGTTGCTAATCTCCCCGTTATTGTTGTTGTTGTTATTGTTATTGTTACCGCTGCTGTTATTGTTCGTGAGGCGCGTGGTGGTCGCGCCCGTCGCAGGGCTACCACTACCACTAGCACTGCCACTGACACTACCACTGCCAATGCCGTCGACCTGTACCATTTCGCTGTCGATCGCAGCCGCCGACTTGGCAGTACCAGGAGGGGTCGCGACGCCGCCACCGATCATCATCACCAGACGATCTCACCTCCGCCCCCTCCACGCTCAGCAACGGCTCCTCCCTCTCCTGCTCTTCCTCCACTGCTGCGGGTGCACCACGTCTATCTTTGAATTGTTAGCGTTTCGCATTCAACGAATTTTTTCCTTCGCGCCAATCGCAATTCTCAGAATACTGACGAGTGTCTCTGAGATTAACGTATCATTTGGCAATACTCTCGTTCGGAGTATAGCTCTTAATAATATTCTCCTATGCGTTGAGCAATGTCGTTGAACGAACATTTTTCGACCTATCCGTAAATGATACACCGTAGAAATTACTAATAGAGTTGCTGGCCGATTTTGCCATCGTCAAACTCGAATATTCCTCTGCCGTCGTTGTATCTTTATCTACGTACACGTCGACACAGTTCGGTACAAATTCAAAGCATTTTCCCGCTTTACTCGCCGAGTATCTGCAGTTCCCATTTGTCTTGGTCAAAAAACTTCAACTCGTCCTCATTGAACTGTCCACCAAACTGTCACGCGTATACCACTGAAGCATACTGTCAGCGACTGTCATCCGACAGCACAAACACGTTTTCGCGGACTTGCCACGTGACGTGGACTGACAAACGAATCGCTACGGAGCCGATTAGCGGAGCGGAATAACTTCTCGTACGATCGCGCGATGATGGTCACGACGCATCGCGACGCGAGCTTTTACGTCGTCGCGACACTTGAGGCCTAGTCGAAGCCGAGAAGCCGAAGGTGCGGAGTGTTGGAGCGCAGGCGCTCCTTCGACGAAGCTCGTGACCACGTTCTCCTCCTTCTTTTCCTCTTCCTCCTCCTCCTCCTTCTCCTCCACCTCTTTCTTCTCCTTCACCTGGCCCTCTTCCCTCTCCGTACTCTTTCTCGCGTGTCGATCGCCCTCTCGTTTCTTCCGCCTACGAGGGCTCTCTTCTCCAATGACAGTCAACGAGGACTACCACGACTACCGGGGTAACTTGCTCGCGCTCCGCCGGATTCGAGCGGATTGCCTTCCGCTCGGGGTTTCGAAGCGCGCCCAGGTTTTCCCCTTTCCCGCCGAGACCCGGGACTCGCCGAGGTGAGATCAAGATTTAACGTGACGTGACTTACCTCGTTCCATGTTCCATATACGCGCGGCCGATTTCCCCCTCGTACCCCGTTCTCCGTTCACCACCGGAATCTTTTTCCCTTCGACACACAGATCACCAGATTCGGTCTCTTCGCCGCACACTTGATCCCTTGATACAAAAGGGCAAAAAGGAGCGTAAAAGGGAGATGAACTTCTTCCAGGATCGCACGAAAACGATTATTCTCTTATTTCTCTCTTCGTTTTTGTCCCTTCAACAGTTCCTACTGTTCCTCACGATGCACCGCTTCTCTTGTCACGCGATCAAATCGCCGAAGCTATCTCCCTTGTGCTTCTGCGTCAGGAACGGAAAGACTCGTATGCCGCGATTTCTCGATTCGTCTCTTTGGAAGGATCCTGTTATCGGCTTCTATAAGGTATGCGACACGTCTTCGTTTCTCTTTTTGACAGCGTGATGCTCTTTTCAGCGAGCCACCCTTTTCTCGCACTACCTGTGGACGACCAGACGCGAGTGCGCGTTACGCGGGGCAACCTGCTCGCTCTCCGCCGTATTCGAGCAGATTGCCTACCGCCGCGCGCTCCACTCTCCACTCGAAGCGCGCCCAGACTAGCCTTACCCCCACCTTATACTCTTCCCGCAAAAGACTCCGCTCTTCTGCTTCTACCCGTTCGAGAAGAAGAGATCAAGATTTAAGGCGCCGTGCCGGTAGTGGTAGCGGTGCGAATGAGGAAGGTGAGTACGGGGAAAAGTAGCTGCGGTTGAAGACGCAGAAGCTGCTGATTACACCAGGTCTGATTGTAAAGGGTGGACGCGAGGTGAAAGACGCCGGACGCGGGGCACGGGGAACTCTCATATCGAGACCTAGTCGATGCGATATACAGAGGTGGGGAACGAACATCGTGGGGATGCATAGTAAGAAAGAGAGAAAGAGAGAAAGAGAGCCGGTAAAGCCAGCCAAGTGCGCACTGCTCGCCGCGCATCTGAGCTTACCCAACGCCCACCGACCATTACCGAGTCGATCGACCAATTGGGCGATCTGGTAGCCGCCCACCGATCTGGTGCGCCCGCTACCACGTCACCCACGCTTTTAAAGAGCAGCCTTCCACTCTTCTCTGTAACCGGTATGATACGGTTGCGATCGTTGCGATCCTTGTCGTCGATTATTATCAAGACTCCCCTATGCAATTTCGGCATCGGACCTCAATGTTGGAAGGTACCCATCGGGGATAACCGATTGGTACGATCTGATTTAACCTGATAAGACTAGGGTACGAAATAATCGTCTATGCGATATATATAGAGAAGTTTTACGAGGAGAGTCTATTTAAATTGCCCTCGAGATTATAAATCGCCGGATATTTCTAATAGAGTATGATTTCGTAAATCGTCGGCTGCAACAACCAATGTGGTTGAACGTATTTATACTCGGAGCAAATCTTATTTTTTAAAAAACGGCAAATTTGTGCGGGCAGAATCGAAACTTTTGAAGACAATTTTCTTATAGTAGAAAACATAAACTAACTTTAAACGTGTCATTTTTATTTTTAGAGTGTCATTTATCTTTATAATTATATATATGTATAATCTTTAAATTAAAATTTAATTATAACCGTTTATTTTACTTTATTTATTTTAAATTGACCAAAGAATGTGATATTGCCATGAATTCTCTCTTTTAAAACTTAGTTTAAAATCATTTATCATCTATCTCTATCATATCCAAATGTTAATTACTATCGATGAAACCATAAATGTCTCAACGTATTGAAAAATATATTATAAAATATTTATAGTACCAAAGACACTTATGGCTCGTCTACAATAGCCGCAAGAGTATGCAGTAAGACGTAAGAAGTAAGCTATTGACTAATGGGATTTTTACAATTCAAGAATAATCGACTGTGGTTGATCAATAGCTTACTGCTTATGTCTTACTGCATACTATTACGGCTATTGTAAACGATGTGGTGAGTTGCTCCGCGTGAAAGCGGTCGATTCGTATTTGATAGGGTCCTGGAATCAATCCCGAAATTCATCCCGCATTTAGATTTCCTTTCTGAAAAGCAAGATTTTCAAGTTCACAATTTACTGCGACAAGTGCAATGTATAAGGGCCTTACGCACAAGGATTGTTGTAACCGTTTACGACAATCTTTGTGCTCTGGCCCTAAGGGTTTATTCCAAAATCAATCTTCGATTGACTGATAAAAAAATTAAAAAATAGAAGAAAGAATTTTATTACATACATAACTGTATTACTTTTCCACATAGTCACTACCCAAATTTAGACACTTAATTGTCGTACCGTAGCACCAGCTTTTGCAATCCCTCGTCAAAGAACGGCACCATCAGGAATCCAGTTGTTGTCTCCATTCACGAGCTCCTTATCGGTCTCGAAACGCTGATGGGTAGCCAGCCAGATCAAAATCCAAAGCAAAAAGTGCGGAATGCTCACCAAGGGCGTCGTTTTCCTGAACGACAAAGCGCGGTTCCACACTGCGGCTCGCACAATATAGTATATTGTGCACCAAGGGGCGAAAGTAGCGTTTTTCAGACGAGTGTGAAGTTTGTCGCCCGAGCCGAAGGCTAGAGCGGCAAATCACATGAGTCTGAAAAAGCTTTCGCCCCGAGATGCACTCGATATTTTTCACAATATCGTTACGGAAAGTTCGACTTCCATGCCTAGAGAGAGGTGAGAGTGGTCAATTTCAAGCCAGGACTTACTTTCCTCCCTGGGGAAGAAAGTGGTTACTTTCGTCCCGCTATGCCGTCCTGGCGTGAAATGGCCACGCTCGCCTCTCTCTAGGCATAGAGGTCGAACTTTCCGTAAAGATATTGTGAAAAATATCGTGTGCACCTCGGGGCGAAAGCTTTTTCAGACTCGTGTGAAAAACGCTACTTTCGCCCCTTGGTGCACAATATACTATGTTCGAGCAATTCAACTAGGAGATTTTCAACCACCCCTTTACATCCCGGACTTGGCGCTAAGCGATTACCATCTCTTGAACAAGATGAAGGTTTAGCTGGCTTTCCAGTGCTTCGAAACCAATGAGGAGCTCGTGGAGTCAACAACTGACTGGATACCCTAGCGGCGTCGTTCTTTGACGAGGAATTGCAAGAGCTGATATTACGGTACAAGTGCCTGAATTTGGGTAACGACTATATATGTGAAAAAGTAATGCAATTATGTAAATTTGGTATGTAATACAATTTTCTTCTCTTATTTTTGAATTTCTTACCAGCGAAACTGAGGTTGATTTTGGAATAGTCCTCGTATCATTTATATACGTGTATATTATACATGTCCTATATGCATAGAACTATACGTATAGTTTTATACAGACAGTATATGTTGTTCTGACAACAATATCTGGAAATGATACATTGCGTTTGTTCCAGCAAATTGTGAATTCGAAAAAATACAGGATAAACTTCGAAATCGAACCTAAGACCCCACCAAATACTTAATACGCAATTAAGATACTCTATATTACGTAGTGTAGGATACTCTGTATAAAAATTTAAATATGATGCAAATGTGTTCATGTACATATTTGCGCGCGTGCGCGAAATTGTGCTCTTCATTTGATAATTGCCTTTATACATTAAATTATTCTGTGACTTCTACCCGTTTAATCGAGATAAAGAGATATACAGGATGTCTCACGACTGTAATTTTAATGATATATTCCTGAGCAAAAAAATAAGACAAAAGTCCTAAGACGAAAAGTCGAGACTGTAATATCTCTACTGTAAATGTTTTCCACTTGAAAAGTATTATATTATAATCTCAAGATTTTTGTCTTATTTTTTTGTACAGGAATATGTCATTAAAATTACGATCGCGAGCTATGAGACACCCTGTATATGAAACGTATGATCTCATAATTGTCACTTATTTGCATATTGCTGGCATATGTATTGATACATCAATTCTTTAAGAAAAATTACTCGGGCGTACCGATCGATTTCAAAAGAGACGCGTATGAATAATTGCAAAGTTATATACCTATAATTCATACGCTATAGCTGCTTAAAGTACATTACGAGTACATCTATACAAGTACAACTATGCCAAAGATAGTTGTGTTACTAATGCCACTGACGGTTAGTGCAGATAATTGTTGATTGGTAGAGACACAGATGTTGATAATAGTAATTTGGAACAGCGAGACCATTTCATACACCCATTGCTCTCTAAATATAGCAATATATTTAATAATAGTTTCTGATAGCATAACGAGACGTTTCCATGAAACTCGTGTCTTCCTTATTGATGTCGCCCGCTTATTACTTAATTCTAATAAATAAAATGCTCAAGGTTAAAAGAAATTTAGGCGGTTATTACACGAGACTGCAATGTAACCGGTACGCGCTATGCAAACGTGTCCGTATATGTTTTTCATTCTTTATTTGACGTTGCAATGCATCGCACGTTTCGATTAATCGAACAGATTTGAGATCTGTCGGGACGACTTATTCTTTTGAGGATATCGTATTGAGTTTAGAGAGAATTCAGCTCCTGCAACTGTAAGTATATAATATCACGCTACTTGCCGATTAATTGCGGCAATTATATTACCGTATTGAAATAGCTCATTCTGCAAGTGCGAGTTAATAGATTGCTTTTCTAGCAACAGCTATATATTTGGTAGGTTCTTAATTCGTTCAAGTTGATTAGAACAATATGTCTAGATGAATACTGTCAAATATTTGCTTTTCGGGAACAAGTGTTACATTCATACAAATCAGAC